AAAAATTAAATTCTCTTTTATCCATTCATTCCCTTACAATATATACAATGTATAACTGCAAAATAAAAGTTAGCAAATGGCTGAAAGGTATGGATTACGAAGAGACGGAGTGTTTAGTAAATAATTAGAACACTTTATTGGTGCCAATTCTGGCGTGATTCTCTAAACCTAAACTTAAATTTGACAGCAGTATATCCTTGTCATTGTCTATACAGAATGAAAAGGAGAGACTGATGTTAAATTTAGTTTTAAGTTTAGAGAATCACGTCAGAATTGGCACCATTGTGTAATCAAATACGGCAGCATTTAGTTATTGTGGGTTTCTGTAGTTTTTATAACTAGTTTATATATCTATTTAATTAATCATACAACCAATGTGCGCACACCCAAATCGGCTACAGTATTTACGTACATAGAGGGGACCCTATTGCCTGTAATACAGGTGATCCTATCACTGGCAACAGAAGTCACCTTTAACAATATTTAAGCTCCAATGTGCCTCTTGTCACCAATTTTTGTATTATTAATTTAAAATATTGTAACTTGCTTTAAGTCAATAAACGTTTATTATTATTATTATATAGTTCCTAGTTTCTGCCACAAGAATGTTCAGTGTTGTTCCACTATACAATTTTATAATCATAATCAAAATCATTTATTCAGTTTAGGCTGTTACGAGCACTCATGAATGTTTGGAAGTTACGCCATCGGTTCGTAAATCTACAGCGGGTGACCTTGTACTGAGAAGAACCGGCAAGAAACTCAGCAAGGGCTGTTTTTTTCTCCCTGTTTTATTATTTACAGAGTCGTCAAATTGAAAAATTACTTCTGAGATGATTCATAAAGTCACCTTTCATTACATAATGATTAAATATACATTAATTGTTTACCTGCATTTTGATTGCTGTGTCATACAGTACAAATACTACTACGCGATATAATCGTTCATGTTGACGTTTCATGGTATTATGGTAACCATTCGACACACCGCACGAAATCAGAAACAAAATAAAATTGTGTCTCCGACAGTTTTTCTAGTCCGACTAATTACTTAAACAACTGATAAATAAAAATAAAGGTAATATAGTCATTATCCTCCACACTTTAAGGTTTACAATGAAATGAACTACAAATTCGACTAGAGATGTAATGGGAAATCCTCGAAACAAAGGTATCGTTGCCAATGTTGCCATTGGCATTTTAAAATTCCTACGTACTGTTTTTTCTTTTGTTGATCCGCACCCTACTCATTTAAATAAATAAAAAAAAGGTTTATTTGCTATAAACTGCCAAATACTGCCAGATTTCTAAAACGTCAAACAAATATGCCACAGAGTAAAATAAAGGGCTAAACCTGCCGAAAAGGCAGGATCCTGCCACATATGGTCACACTGGCGAACGACAATGTGAGTGAGTGCCGTTTCAGGGAGGGCGCAGCTGTCTACTGAGATAATTCTTTGAACTTAAAACTAAATTTAACATCAATCTCTCCTTTTCATTCCGTATAGAGAATGACAAGGATGCACTGTCGTCATATTTAAGTTTAGGTTTAGAGAATCGTGAAAGAATTGACAACAATGGTAGTTTTCCAATTACAGCACTAGAGCGCGTTATGCGTTTGTATGCGGCATAATGCATAACGTTGAATGTTTCAACTCGGTTTCAACTACAGCAACGCATCGCACAATCGAGCACTCTCAAAAGTAATGTTTTCGTGTGATGCGTGCAATCGATACCAACTAAGTTCCTTGATACCAACTCAGTGACAGAAAATTATCAAGTGTTTTTTCTTTAAGTTGGCAATAGTGTCGATTCTGGCAGGATTCTCTAAACTTAAAACTAAATTTGACATCAATCTGTCCTTTCCATTCTGTATAGAGAATAACAGAGATACATCGTTGTAAATTTAAGTTTAGCTTTAGAGAATCATGCCAGCATCGACACCATTGACCGAAATGTTTTTAATATCGTCAGTAATATTATTTATTGTTGAAATATTTTCTAACCTTTGTTTCATTGTAGTTTTTTTAAAATAATCAAAGTTAATTCAAACTGTTTCAAAAAAATAAGTACAAGTATGAATGAAGGTACAGTTTGTCTATAAAGTCGTGACATGAATGTTTGAGGAACTAACATTATTCATGTGTCTGGCAACACCAAACTTATGTACATCAGCTGTCATCGAGTTTCAGTTGTAAAACAGTTTTCCTTTTGTATTTTTTATTGTTTGGATTAAACTGTAATAAATTAAGACGAAACTACGCAGAAAGGTATAAAAATGAGTAAAGTAAATCGGAGAGGCACGCGGGAAGTGATTTTTAAAGATTTCCAGCGATGTTTCGAAGACTACCAGGCTGGACGAATTTTGTGGGATTTGGATGATGTTTATGCGCCAACAGCATCTATGACGGGTATGTAATCGTGTAACTATTTGTTTGTAATCTGCTTGAAGTTACAAATTTACTCAATTTACGATTTTGAGACAAAAAAAGGCATTGTTTACATTGCACATTTTTAGGTAAGATTGACATTGTAAATAGGTAATATTGTAGTACGACCATTTCTTTTGATACGTTATTATGGTGCAACTGGGTCACGTTTTCTACCAATTTTGAATTAATTGCTTCATGTCAATTAGTTATTGTTTCTATTCCGTTACATATTTTTTTACTTTTTTTTTAGGAAAATCAGAGAATCGGATAGTCAACGAAGGTTTTAAGAATGATGGAAAGTTTGTAACTCCTGGGACAACAGGCAAGGCCGACCAAAGAAAGAAATAGTCACATAAAGTACCATGGCCAGATGCTTTTAGTGAAGATACCTATCACTAATTTTACTAACTGCACATTTACAAATTGTTTATCTAAATAAACTTTTTATATACTATAAAATGATTTTTAGTATTATTTTCTTGACAAGTGTGTTAAAAAAAGTCGTATGATGATACTTGTGTGTATTGATGATTACCTAACGGCTCTGGTCTCAATGGCACCTCAGCGGTAATCACCAACATTACACACTTTTACACTATAAAGTACTATTTCATCTATAATTTATTCTGATTCAATTAAACATGCTTGGCTAAACTTTTTATAAGAATAGGTACCTACTATATATAAAACAGAAACAAAATACGACTGTATAGTGTGTCTTATTAATTACCTATTTTGCTTGAATGAACTGCTAGTATCAAAATCATTTTGGTCAGACTGTACAGGGTTGCTACATGCATACTAGTGGCGCCATCATTTAATGTCACGACTTTATAGACAAACCTTACAAACATTGACTTTTTCTATATTCCATATTTTTAAAATGTAAATAAAATTTTATTTTAGAATTGGAATCTATAAACAAAATTATTTAACATTAATATACTTTTGTAAACATTGCAACGGCTTGATCGAATCATTTAATGACGCAGGCAATCATAATGTTTTCGTGGAAAAGAACATGGTAGCTTTCCAATTACAGCATTATAGCGCATTATGCGGCATAATGCTTAACGTTGAGTGTTTCAACTACAGCCACGCTTCGCACAATTGAGCACTATCAAAAGTAATGCTTTCGTGTGATGCGTGTAATCGTACCAACTCAGAGACAGAAAATTAACAAGTGTTTTTTCTTTAAGTTGGCATTGATCGAAATGTTTTATTTATATGTAATATATTATTTATTGTTGAAAAATTATTAAAACTTTCGTTTCATTACAGTTTTTTTTTTCAAATAATCAAAGTTAATTCAAACTGTGTTAAAAAATAAAATATAAATATGGATGAAGGTACAAACATTGACTTTTTTTTCAACACTGAACTTAGCGCACTCTGCTGGTGCAGTTGAGAACTAATGCACGTTCCAATTAAGCATCAGCATAATTCGGCATTGTGCGCCACTGAGTCGCATTATGCTCTGTAATTGGGTAACTACCAATGTGAACATATCTTTATGAAATACTTTGCAATAAATTATAGATATTATTTTTACTCATATTGACTTGCTTATTTGTAAATAGAAGATGGGAGGCATTAAAAAGACGTTAAATTTAGGTTAGGTAACTTCGAGCTACCTCCACGAGGAAGGGTGCGGCCAGAGTGCACTCAGTTTCAGATTCTGAAAACAAGCGCGAGAAATAAACAGTGTAGTCTAAGCAGGTTGACTGCTTTTTCTCGCGCTTTGTTTTCTGAGTCTGAATCTGAATCAGGAGTGCACTCTGGCCGTACCCTTCATCTACACTGTTTATTTCTCGCGCTTGTTTTCGGAATCTGAATCTGAGTGCACTCTGGCCGCACCCGAAGATAGCAATAGCTGAAAGCAACAATTTTTTTTGTTAAATTCTCCCTTTCCAGGGAAGGCAAAGGGAACAATGCCCATACAGCCTAGTCCTCAGTTAAATTATTCTGTTTTTCCTTTTAAATTAGAATGTCGGTGTGACGGATTCTAAAGTGTTTGGCACAAAATGTATCGAGCTGGCTTTTTCGATAAGCTTCTGTTAGGTAGTCAATACTACAATAAAGTTCTCACGTCCACTTGACCGGAATAGCGTATATTTTGACGATTCTACTAATTCTTCAGTTACGCAGACAGTTGTAACACAAAATCACACCAATTTTATTTCACAATATCCACTCTGAACGAATTTAAGAATAATTAAAATAAGACGCCAACCACACTCGATCAAATCCCGCCAAAAACTCCAACAACAAATATTTAATTAGTTGTACTTTTAAATATTTAGGAAGAAAAAAAATCTGTTAGAACTGTTAAACAGTTTTTGTAGTTTCAATATGTGTTGTCAATTTTATTGAAAATGGGGCTTCTAATTGTTAAAACTATGATACTTATTCAGAGGTTAGAACTCCCGCGCTCCGACGTAACTTTGACATAAAAATACCTTCAGACAGAACGTTTTTTAATCCAATCCAGAATTATAGAATAGAATAGAACGCACCCTGCACCGTGTGTAAGAGTTTTAAATCGTACGATTAACGTCAAAAAATGACAAACAATAAACGTCATTCATCCCAACAAACGCATTTCAATTTTATTTGAAACAATTGTTAGATTTTAAATTATTAATTGTGCAAGTGTAGTTAATTATGTGGTGAAAAGTAATAACACCTTTTATCAAAATATCTGAATATGTTTTTATGACATAATTTTAAGGTAAGCTAGCGGTAAATGTAATGAATTATATTTTGCGTCACAAGTGCCAAACAAAACAGTTCTATTGTAGATTTTGTTTACTATTTTTAGGGACGAGATGTCGAAGGCTGTTGTAATACCCGAGTGTACAAAGAATATACGGGATTTGAACGAGGGGCTATCTATATCCCCAACTGACAAAAAGCACGGTACACTTGGTTTGTTTAGTAGATTATTACGTTTGGATTCGCTAAGAAGAGGCGAGGGAGAGACTAGTGTATCTGGGAGTCCAACTTCATCAGAACCCCCAAGTACCTACTATGGTGTGTACATCCCCTGTGAAATTAAAAAAGGACCAGATGAAGGTATGTTCTAAGCTTTGTTATTGTTTTTTGTTTATACACAATTTTAAAAGATATCCAAATCTATGTAGGTCAGCTTTAGATTAGATACTTGAATGTTTTTGTGAATATCTTTGATATAAAGTAATATCACTACTTATTTGAAAACTATTATGAGCACTTACAATTCAATGCTTTAATTGAATAACTGAGTATTTTGTCAAATTTAAAGAACAGTTTTATCCTTTGAATGCTGCCATATAGATATATGGCAGCAAGCACTCAAGTATAGTTTGTCTTTATTTGTATAGTTCAAAAAATTAATGTATGTAATTAAATTAAGGAATGTACTTTCAATTAGGAATGTTGCATTGTCTGCACACATTAAAAACATGGGATTTATAACTGCTCAAGATTATTGCAGTAGTAGCAATATAGGCGACAGATGTATATAATTTTTCCACTACATAATATTATAGATAATTCCTAATAATATCAAACCTGATTTTCCACTTAAATGAAATCAGACTGCACCTTTGAGACTTTGGTAAAACTGTACTTCCAGGGCCCAAAGGTGATACTTTTTTTTTTTGTACAAAAGGTCTTTTTAACAGTTTTTTTTTTCTGGCGCTTCGCCGGCCTCTGACGCGGCACGCTCGCTTTGCTCGCTCGGCTCGCGCGTTATGGTCACAACACTAACCTAACCTAACCTAGTGTGAAGTATCACCACTTGATAAGAAAAGTAATAATTTTCAATATTTTTTTCTAAAAAACTACCAGTGCATAAGTGTGACATTTTTTTTAATAATGTGGTTAACAGAAACCTTTTTAACAACAAAAATGCGAAATTACAACCAACAAAACTGTGAAGTTTTTACTTTTGGGCCCTGGAAGTACAGTATATCCAAGACTTTGGTGGTGCTTAAAAATTAACTTAATTGCAGTTTTTATTTAATGTTAATTTAAAGCAGCACAGAAGTGGCGTATAAGCGATTTTGATTTTACTGTTGATATATTAGTTTTGTATATAAAAACAAAAAATCTTGTACATTCCAATCTTTTGTTTGATGATTTTAGAAGCTCTGCATGTATATAAGAATAAAGCGGAGGCATTAGAACTGGTTCGACGTTACAAACTAGCCAGGTTTAAGGCTTTTCATAACCGCCACGATGCTGTCTCATTTGCTTTGCGGGGTGCAGAGCCTGTGGATACACATGATGGAAATGACAATTGTAAGTAATATTAACTCGGAACAAAACAAATTTAAAACAATATTTTCTGCCAGAAAAAGCTCTCCATTTCACGAGAATTTTCTACTTTGGATTAAGTAAGTACATACACTATTTTGAGTGCAGTTCAGTTTTATTTTTAGAGTCCCTTTTCAGAGAATTTAAAAACCTGCGGTAGTTTAAATTAATGATATATCATTGATTTTCAAGTAATTATTGTCATTCATTGATTATAAAATAATGGATTATAAAATTAATACATATAAATTTTATAATCCATTATTTTATAATCCTATACAACTTAAATAATTTCCAAGTGAATCTTAATTAATGTTTAGGTAAGCATTTTCATATTATTTGGTGATTCAATTTAGGTGACAGGTTAACTATTTTAGGAAGGAATATTATTTATTATATTAGGTGATTGATAATATCATGCCCAAAAAGGAAATGTGACTTTTAGTATCCTTGGGACCTTTTATGCTTAAAAATATTTAATATTTAAACAAGATTTATAATAAAATAAACAGATTTTTAAATATTGAACCAAAAAAAACAGTAATTTTGAGGTTGGTGCCATCATCTGATAATTGTAGAAGGATGAATCAAATAGCTGCAATGCTTTTTCTCTATATTTAATAACCAAATTATAAACAGTATATCCAATAGGACAATATTCACTGAGATATTTTATTTTCTAGTTCAGGTAGTATCAGGGGACCTTCCTACCTAAAAAAGTTTGATATTTGAATCACAATACATCTTCAACGCCATACAGGATTATATATGGGTTGGTTTGCTAATTTTATTGCTTTTGTTCATTATTGGGTTCTAGGTTTACACGCAGTTGCTGTTATAAATCTTGTCTTTCTTATTTTATTATTTCTACCTTTTATTTTTCTTTACCCATAGCATTTACTTATACTCTCTTGTGTTGGTGCGCATGCGCCGTTCGCACTGATAATGTTGGACTCCTTTAAGGGGCTGGGTGGGAACGATTGCATTGTTTCGCTGATATCTCTGTATGAATACCCTGTACAAACTATATATATTTAGATTCTCCATAAAATTTACTATAAAACAGTGTGTACACAATGCATCATGTCTATAATCTATTTTAATTATGTTACGGTAAACTCGGGTAAGATAAAAAAAAGGCGTTCAGATGGGCAAAATGGAGTATATCTTCAAAATTTTAAAATTTCATGTCAAGGTTTTTTGGTTATTTGCACATTCTATTATAACTTACCAAATAAAATCATAATATACCATACTCCCACAATTAAATTTTACACTATACCTCTTACAATTCACGCGCTCAGAAGTGACGACCGACTTTCGGTCGCTCAACACTATGACGATTTTTGGCAGGAACCGAAAGTCGGTCGCTCAACACAATAGAGGTTATAAAGACATGCATAATATATAAAATAGCTTTATAGGTACCTTTGTGAAAACAACTCACTGATGATTACTTTTCTTTACTTTTAATTAAACAAGAAAAACCAAAATAGTTACCAGAAATATGTTTTGGGATAGTACCGCTACTGGATGTATATGCAACAATGTATTCTAGTTTCTACTTCATGAAAAAAAAGTATGACTTGAATTATGCTTCCTACTTGGATAAAAAAACACATTAATTTTAAGTATAATAGCTTAAGATCAATAACCGATGTTATCTCAAACCTATAATAATAATTGTTATCAAACATTGAGTAATCTGTTGTTTGCTTATTCTTACATAATTATGTTAGTGAATTCCTCATAATTATGTGTTTTTACGGAAATTATATTTCTGAATGTTTTCTTATGAGGGAAAATTGTTTTATAAATAGTTCTTACAATTACAATGTTTGTTGTTATAGCCAAAGAAATTATTATCAATGTCCCCATTTATTTGTTTCTCTGAATTGCTTGTAAGCCCTTTTGATTTTGGTCCTTTTGTTTTAAAATTATGTAAGAACTCTTTGATTTATCTATTAAATTTTTATATTATAATGTTACTAGCTAACCAGTGAACCAAATGTTCACCAAAACCTGATTTAAAAAAAAAATGTATTTAATTAATTCTTCAGAATTTCGGAGATTTTGTGTGGTTTCGTTTGAAATTTGTGATTTCTCGAAAACCGGAAGTGCTACGATACTCAAATCCGGTTTGTAGTCTTATCAGACTATTCTTAACTTATAACTTAAACATTCTCTTTATCTATCTCTTACGGTTTGGCCGCTGAAACAGCACCACAGACAGACGGACGGACGGACTTGTCTAATAGATAAGAGATCATTTTACTAATAAACTGATTTATGGACTTTTTGGTATAAATATTGTTAGTTTCTACTTATCTATAGAACAATGCAGCATTTGTGATGGATTCAGAAAACAGCATTGACCTCTTTGGCACTAAGAGAATATTCCATGAGTTCCAAAGTCTCAAAAAATATTGATAATTTTGTACATATTTAACTTAACCCATTGTCTTCAAACATGTTCCTCGTTGTACATACTGATTTATATAAGCAGGTGTCGCACTCAGCAAAACACACATTGCCGCATGTTTGATGTTTGTATAGTGAATGCAACTGTGAATGGTTCTTGTGTGGACTTTGGTATTAAAAATCTTTACAAATAGCTTTAGAGATCCTTATTGCCAGCTCTGACTAGGCACTATTGTCCGCGGAAATCTTAGAGCAAGACGGAAAAAGATCACTTTAAATGCATGAAGTAAATACCTGTCCACATCTCCACGTCACGTGACCATAGAACACATAAATAATTTCTAATTAATGAATTTTTAAAAAAATATAAATGATATGTTCTCTTTTTTGAGTGTGTATGCTGTTGGTCGCAGATGACCTTTACAGCGTCACCGGGTTTCGGGACGGCGAGATCCTAGCTTGAGGTCCCTCAAGCCGGGAATTGGCGAGTGCCTCTGGAGGTATTCCAGGCGGATGGTGTCTCCCCACGGGAGGAGTCTCCTCTCCGTCTGGAGCCTCTAGACCACTCGAACCTGAGGGGGTCGGCTCAACTAGAGGGCGTCTCTGAGACTTGGACCTCGGCTCTAGTTAGCCGTTGTCGTGGGGTGTCGGGGGAAAACGCCCGGGTACGTACCTGTACCTGGTATAGCGTGTCGTGTGTAGACCGGGTCTTCGCACTCTTATCCTACGGGTGCGGTATCTGCCTAATGCTAAGCTAGTGTGCACGTTTGCTAGCTGTGTAGTGTTGGTGTTTGTGGCCTGTGTGGGAGGAATCGGAGACGCGTTGGCGCGGGTGATTTCGTCTTTAGGGTAGTCTAAGACGTGCCTAGGCCGACGGAATCGGAGGAACCTACGATTGGAGGACGGGAGGGCGGACGTATGATAACTAATCGCTTTAACTACCAAGGGGTTCGGGTGATGCGCGGCTTTATCGAAGTAACGCCTCGAGGCGTCCTTCATATACTTCGCGATGGAGTCTAATTTGAGTTTGCAGCGTTTGGAGTGGTTTAAGACGCGTCGGAGGTACGTGGGCGAAGCAAACACTTGCGTAGGTCATGATAGGGCGGATGCAAGTTTTGTAAATTGTCAACTTATGCCTAAGTGACAACTTACTACGCTTCCCTATGAGGTGGAATAGCCTGTCGCGAATGAATGCTGCGCGATCGCGAATTATCTTGAGATGAGGTGCAAACTTTAATCGGTTGTCTAACGTAACTCCCAAGTACTTGACCCGGCCCTCCCAGGGGGTGACTCGGTCAAATAGTTGGATGCTCGGAAGAGAACGCGTGGGAGGTGGTGTCGTGCTAAAGAGTATCGCGACGCTTTTCTCCGGATTAGCCTTGATACGCCATCTACGGAACCAATCGTCAAGGGTGGTAGCGGCTGATTGAAGTCTATTACAGACTGTTCCGAGACGTCTATCGGAGGTATAGAGGGCGGTGTCGTCGGCGAAAAGCGCGAGATCGACCTTAGGAGTCTTGGGCATGTCGTTCGTAAAGACCGAGAGTGGCGAGCCCTGAGGGACGCCGGCGCGTATTGGACGAGGCGAGGAGAGCGTTCCTTCGACGCGATAGCGAAACGAGCGATTCGACAAAAAGTCCCGTAAGATGAGCACGAGTCTATCCGGCACACCGAGTTTGTATAGCTTATAAATAAAGCCATTGTGCCAGACTTTGTCAAATGCTTTCGCCACGTCGAAGAAAAGCGCACCTGTGGGAATCGCGGAGGCTCGATATAGATCGCGGTATTGGAAGATGTGCTCCGTTAGGCGGTGCACATGGTGGACACACGAGTGTTTGGAATGGAAACCAAACCGTTCGTTCATAATGAGGTTGTTAGCGAAGAGAAAATTTTTAAGGCGGCTAGCGAGGGCGCGTTCGCAGAGTTTCCCCAGTGTTTTTAAGGAGACTAATAGGGCGGTAGATAGAGGGTAAGGCGCCGTCCTTCCGTTCCGTTTCCGGATCCCGATAACGACGGCCTCTTTCCATTCTGCGGGAAATATCGCGTTTGTCATAGCCGCGCGCGGGTAAGATCTTAAGGACCTTACTAGAGATTCCGTCTGACCCGGAGTTGCTACGCGGGCGCAGTTTACGGATTAACGAATGCACCTCATCTACTGTGACCGGCTCAATGGTGGCGTTGGGCGGTACGGAGGAGGACTTTTCGACTTCCGAGTCGACTAACTACGTGTTCGAGGGGGACTGGGAGAGTGCTAGGCGAGCACTGGACAGGTAAGCTGATGCAATCGTGACCGATCAATGCCTGGTCATGCCTAGTCGACAGACGGCGACTTCTAGATCAGTCAGAGTGGGAGGGACTAGTGGGGATCAATGGAGGGACCGCTTGTAGTAGATGAGAGTGCCACCGCCGCGGCTGTCTCTATCGTTCCGAACTAAGTTGTAGTTGGCAATGCGCGGGCCACGAATGGACGGTTTCAAAAACGTTTCTTGTATTAAAAATATATCTATCGCGTGATCTACTAAAAATTTTGCAATTTCTGCACTCTGACTGGAGAGACCGTTAGC